GCCTCTTACCAACCACACAGGTTTTTTTTCAAGGATCATCTGTCCCAGACTTGGTCCTACTGCTTTTCCAATAGTGCACCTATCATCAATTTAATTGTGCAAATTTACCTTGCTGATGGTTGTCTTCTTCTTCCCTTTTCTTCTATCTTCCCTGGCATTGTATACTTCTCCAGAGAGTAGATGTTCAGATAAGATGTTCAAACCAAGGTAACTTGAGTTTGGTTATCTGTTCCTTGGGTAAGGAATGAAGATTGACCGGTCTGATGATCCATTTATTTGTTTTCTTGCCAGTCCATGGTATCCCCAGCAGCCTTCTCCAACTACAAAATAAATAAATAAAGAAAACATCAATAAGACTTTTACCCTGATATATTAAAGAGGGCAAGTAAAGCTTTGGATACTCTCAAGTCGAGAACAGGTGACCTCATGAACATTTCCATTTTGCTTTCCCTACAATATGGACACGATTTTGCATTGCTTTCTTCCATGTTGTTGCTTCATTTGTTTTATTTTGTTTGTTTGTTTACTTTGAAGCATTAACCAGAGATGCTCTTAATGGCTCCCAAAATCAACTTGATACCATCATCTGCATTCCTTAATGAGCTTTGTTTATTGCGATTGGAAGGCTTTTATTTATTTTTTATTTAGTTTGTCAAACATGTAAAAGATAACAGGTGTAAGTAGAAACATACGTACGAAAACAGTAAATGGGTACGAATAAATGGAGACAGTAGGTGAGGGACAGTAGGTACGCTGGTGCACTTATGCATGCCCCTTACCTTACAGACCTCTTATGAATGGGGTAAGTCTAAGTTTAACATTATTGGGGTTTGGGGATGTAACAACAGTGTCGGGTAGAGCATTCCAGGAATTGACCACTTTGTTGCTGAAGTCGTATTTTCTGCATTCGATTTTGGAGCAGTTTACCTTGAGTTTGTATCGATTGTTTCCCCGTGTATTATTTCAGTTGAAGCTGAAATAGTCATTGGCAGGTAGGATGTTCTTTTCTTTCCCTCTTTTTCTTTTTTTTCTACCTCCAGTCTTCATTTTTATTTTCTGCTTTTCATTTTCATTTTATTTCTCTTCTTCTCCTTTCATTTTTCTTTCCCACATTGGTAAGTAACATCATGGAAACACCCAATATTAAAATTCAAATGCATTTCATTGACTTTGATGTTGGCCTTTTCGACCGAAGAGAAAGTAATTTGTGGAATGTTTTGAAAAATATAATCAGGAAAAAAATGTTTTCAAATTAATAGCAAGTGAAAATATCATTTAATAAGTTTATACCCTGCCCATCTCACTATCCATTCTCGGTGACAACATGACAAGTTGTTTAGAAAGTGTGTGATTGAGCTTTCTTGAAAAGATACATTTAAAAGTTACTGTATCTGTTCAATGTATCCTTAAAAAAAAAAAGACTTGTTATTTAAAAGTTAATTTATGAGTTCTTTCCTGAAAATAACTGTTTAGAACAGTTTAATGATAGTTTGTCTGTTAAAACACACTGCTTGATATTTTTTTCTATTGGTGCAAGACACTGAAGGAAAAAAATGTCCTTAAAAAGTCTTTTTGGAATAGAATAGAATTCTTTTATTGGGCAAGTGTGATTGGACACACAAGAAATTTGCTTTTGATGCGTATACTCTCAATGTACACAAAAGAAAAATAAAACAGAAATATATAAAATTAGAAAGGGGTTTGCAAATACACATAGGACACGTTTTAAATTAAAGCCAATGATTTTATGATTGGTTTTGCACTGTAATAATAAATGAGCAAATATAATAATAGTTTCTGGGGCGTTTTCTGTGAATAAAGGAACGCTGGAAAGGCTTCCCGCCGTTCACGTACAAACATCCACTTCCCTCGCCTGGCGAGAGGCAAATGCGCCGCCTCAGAAAAGGCGGGAACGGCCCACTCCAAAGGAGGAGGAGCTTCACGCTGAGGGGCGGGGCAGAAGAGCCTCCAAAGCATCCAAAGGGCGTCAACTGCAGGGGTGGAGCTTGCAACTGCAGAGGCGGAGAGGGAGGCGTGGTTTGGAGGCAAAGCTCCGATTACAAATACGGGGACGCGTTATAAGGGAGGCGGGGAGGGGAAGGAGGGCGGAGTTTCACGTCACGAGACAGAAGGGCGGAGTTTCGTCCGAGCTCACGTAGGGCGGGCTGAGTAGTAGGCGGAGAGAAATGTGGGCCAGTGAGGAACAAAGCGTGGCTGGATGAGGGAAGGGGCGGGGCCTCGGTCCCGGGGATGGCGGGCGGGGCCAGGGGCGGGGCTATTGATGCCTTGGGAGAAGCGGAGAAGCTGGGAATCGGAGCGATGGCGGAAGCGGCGGCCGAGAAAGGTGAGCCGGAGCGCGAACCCCGAGCTCCGATGCAGCGGGGAACCGGCCGTCACGGGACGCCTCCTTCGTGCAGGCTGCCAGGCGCGCTCTGCGTATGCTCAGAGCCCCCCCCTTTTTTGCATTGAGGACTAGTCTGATGCTCAGATCGGTCCCAGATCTCAACCCCGTGAGAATTCTGCACGTGATTTCCTTGGGGTTACGTGGGCAGGGGCTGGAGGAGGAGGTCTGCTGGCTCCGATCCGGGGCAGGGTTAAAGAGGAGAAGAGGTGGTGGAAATCTCCCTGGGGCGGATTCCCAAAAGAGGCGACCAGGGGGACAACTAACTCTCCATGGCTGGGATGTTCATTCTACTTAGCATGCCTGTTGAGCGGTGTGGGTGTGATGCACTGCTCATCTTCTCAGTCCGAAAAGCGACCTTTGCAATTAAAATTATAAATATAAAAGGCATTAAATACAAAAGGCATTAAATATAAAAGACATTAAATATAAAAGGCATGGGAAGATATCTACAGACCCCTCGCATTCTGGACATAAATTGTTTCCTACTCTCAAAATTACTCTATAGGGCACTGCACATCAGAACAACTAGACACAAAGACAGTTCCCCCCCCCCATCACTCTGTTAAACAACTAATTCCCACAACACTGTCAAACTATTCACTGAGGCTGCATTACTATTAGTCTTCTCATCGTTCCTAGTATCTCTTTCCTAATACCTATTTCTTTCCACCTATGACTATAACCATCTTGCTTGTATCTTTAACATTTATAGTTTTATTTGTTTCCTAGTATAATTTAATTGCTTATTAGTAACCTATGACTATCGCTAAGTATTGTATCTTATGATTCTTAATGTATTCTATTTTATTTTTCTTTATGTACACTGAGAGCATATGTGCCAAAGACAAATTCCTTGTGTGTCCAATCACACTTGGCCAATCAAGAATTCTATTCTATTCTGTTCTTTTCTATTTTCTATTGTATTAATTCCTGTTCTGTTCTGTTTTGTTCTGTTCTATTCTAATCTAATTCTATTCTAATCTTTTTCTATTCTATTAAAAATGTTAAACGCAAAAACAAAAAAGCAAAATCAGAAAGAATAAGAGGCCCCTAATGAGAACACTTGGAAGGGAGCAGTGGCATTGCTTTGAGATTGGAAGTATCCCACTTTCAGGAAGAGATTGGACTGCCATTTGTCGGAAATGGTGTAGGGTTTCCTGCCTGATGGGGTGGGGGTGGACTAGATGACCTACAACGTCCCTTCCAACTCTGTTAATCTAATATTATCATGTAGAACAGGATGTGGGATTAGGGGATCTTTGGGCTGGATTAAGCCTGGGTATTTGGCCCTTTGCATCTGGCAGGTCCCAGTGATTAAAATCACAGATTGGGTGTCAGCTGGAATGCAAGTTTTAGTTTATTTTATTTGAATTTTTATGGATGGCAAGAATGAAGACACAATACACAAAAGTACAGGCACCCCTCAATAGATTGCAATTAGGACCAGAATTTCCGTAGCAGAACAAAGGGATTGTTAAACCAGTTGCATTCAATTATTCAATCTTTTCTGCCGCAACAATTAACTGACTTTGCCTGTTGACTTGGTCCATCGGAAGCAGGCCGGGAGGGACATAAATGGAGATCATGTGACCCTGGGACGCTGAAACTGTAATGAGTACATGCCAGTTGCTAAGAGCCCAAATTTTGATCATGTGACTGGGATGCTGTGATGGTCATAAGTGCAAGGACCACTCAGAAGTCACTTTTTTTCAGTGCCATTGCACGTTCCAATAGTCGCTAAATGAATCGGTCGTAAATGAAGGATTACTTGTAGCTAAAATACAGTAGAACAAATATTTGCAATAAATGCCTTCCAAATTATATTGTAAATGTAAATTTATTCAACAATATAAAGCGCCTCCTTGTGGTTTTTGCTGCTCACTTAACATGAAAAATAGGGACGCGGTGGGTCAGTGGCTAAGACGCTGAGCTTGTTGATCAGAAAGGTCAGCAGTTTGGCTGTTCGAATCTCTAGCACTGCGTAACGGAGCGAGCTCCCATTACTTGTCCCAGCTTCTGCCAACCTAGCAGTTCGAAAGCATGTAAAAATGCAAGTAGAAAAATAGGAACCATCTTTGGTGGGAAGGTAACAGCGTTCCATGCGCCTTCAGCGTTTAGTCACATGACCACGGAGACATTTTTGGACAGCACTGGCTCTTCGGTTTTGAAATGGAGATGAGCACCACCTCCTAGAGTCAGGAACGACTAGCACATGTGTGTGAGGGGAACCTTTACCGTTAACATGAAAAAGTGGGCCTCAGTGTACTACATCCCAGTCTTTGGGAAGTAAAACAAATCAGAACCACAATTAGTGTATGTTTGTGTAAACAATTAGTACAATGTCTGGGCATTGTATCAGTCGTTCAGATTCCTGGTGGCATTGGCAATCAAAATCCTGGGGAAATTACCATGCTTTAAAAAAATTTAACAGTAATTGCACATAGCTATTTTCTACCATTCTAACACTTGATTTCCCTTTGCAGCTTATTACAGATTCCTTGTGCTTTTCTTCAACTGTCTCTTGACCTTTGGCTCCTACTTCTGTTTTGACATTCCCAGTGTCTTGCAAGAACAGTTTCAAGGGGTGAGTGTCTCCCCCCCCCTTTCTCTCTGACCGTGTTAGAAGTTAGAAGACCCTGTTTGATTTCAGCAAATAGATTAGAGGTGCAAAGTTTCCAAGCCTTTTTCAATCCAAATCTTTCCAGAGCTGCAGAGATTAACAACGAACATTTCAGCTGTTTCCATACCTGAATTATCAAAGGTATGTGTAGGAATTCAAGAAACTCTGCACTGTGGGAACGCCAGGCCACATTTTTGATAGCTGATGTAGTGACTTCATTTGTTTTCCATTCATAAGACTTAGGTCCTGCTTTTTACATATTGCTACATACCGGCTTCACACATTGTACTAAGTTATGGTTTTTAAACTATGCTTTATTGATAACTAGCCAATAACCCGGCATTGCCCCGGTACTTATTTATAAGGGGAAAATGTCCAGAAATTGTTGGATTGTCCACCTTATCAGAGGGAATCCCTTGTGGAATACTGTGAAGCCATTACTGTGGCAACTCCACTGCGCTGTACAGTAGAAGCCATTTTACGGTAGTACAGTAGAAGCCATTTTAAGACACAACAGGCTGCATCTTAATAGAACACATATCTCGAGGAGTGTTAGGGGTGTCTTACCCCCCCACAGTATTTGTCTCCAGAGGGTAAGTCATCTGTGTACCAAGTTTGGTTGAAATTGCTTGAGGCGTTCCAGAGTTATGCTGGAACACACACACACATACACACACACATAGCCATATTTATATAGTTAGATTGACTGGGCTGTCAAATCACACTAAGCCATAAATCTTGATTAGAAGAGTGCTAATAGCTGCATAGTGCGTTCCTTCAATACACATGGCCAAAACCTAACAAGCAAAAACACCTTGTGCAAGGAATGGAGTTATCTAATTATCTGGAACAAATATGCAGGTGGGCCTCACTATAAATCAGGATGTATTTCATCTTGGCTCCTTTGTAATTATCTGATATTGATAACTTTGTTTTCCTTCTGATTTGTCCTCCAGAATCTAACCTGCCCCAACGGAACTCAACACAATGGCACAGAACATAATGCAACAACTGATTGTGTGGAAGGGCTTGGAATGACTCCCGAACAATACAATCTTCTATATGCCATCTATGCCTGGACGTGAGTCAGTCTTTCTCTGTCTCTCTCTCTCTCCGTCTCTCTCTCTCTCACACACATAATACTATTTATCTCCACCTCCTCCTTGTGATTTATTTATTTTTTGTTCTCTTTAGTAATGCACTGGTGGTGATTGTGGCTGGCTTCCTGATTGACAAACTTGGAAATCGCTGTAAGTTTGGAGGAACTGAACTATTTATTTAATTTCTGTGCCTGCCCATCTCAACCCGGGTGACTGTGCCGTTGTTTTCTTTACCACTTGGCTTGCCCTCTCTCTGAGATCATCTGGGGCTTGGGGGTGGAGAGACTGTTCTGTATGTTCCTTTGTCTTCTCAAATCCAGCTGGCTAAAGAAGAAGACCTTTTCTGCACTGTTCATGCATGATGAAGAGTTGCATTTCCTGGAAGGTTATTGGCATTGATCTGTGTCCGAGAATTTTCACAAGGAGCTTTTAAATGTGAAATAGAAGGATTTGCTTCAGCCACGTCTATCTGTGTACATTGAATGCTCAAAATGTATAAAGGACTCAGTTCTGGTTTGGGATGTATTTTGAAAGTGAAGCTTTGTTTCGGATATTTAAAACTAGTCAGTTGGATACCCGTGCTTCGCTACAGAACTATGTGATCGGGCTTGATAAATTGACAATTAAAGCTTGAACATTAATGAGTAGTTACGATCGGCCTCTTCTCTCCCCTTCTCTCCCTCAGGCTCTCCCCACAGAAGCCTCCTCTTCTCTCCTATCCCCCTTCTCTCCCCCAGGCTTGCCCCACAGAAGCCTCTCCTATCTTATCCCCTTCTCTCCCTCAGGCTGGCCACATTGGTCCTCATCCCAGGCTGCAGGCCTGATGAGTCATGCCCTGGCCACGCCCAAGTGGCAGTTGAAACAGAGTTCTTTTCAGGTGGGGAGGAGGAGTAGAACATCTAACTCCTTAGCATCAGAGTGTGTTAATAATAATATTAGAAATACTAATGATCTGATGGCCATTTCAAAAACTCCTTTCTTAGCGAGCACCTAGAGGCTAAGAGGAACATACGTGCCAAATTTCAGGTTTGTAGGTTTTACGGTTCTGGAGATTTCCTGATGAAGCGTGAGTGGTATTTCGCTTATTCCACCTCTCCGGTTCCAATTCACGTGCCTGTTATAAAAGCCACATGTTTTGCCTGTATAATTTTTCCCTTATACCGTTTTTTTCTCCTCCTCTCTATAGTTGGTGTCTTTGTCTTCTCGTTTCTGACTGTCTTGGGATCGTCCGTTTTTGCACTGGGCTCTCATCTAAAAGGAACTCCGTACCTCTTGCCTCTGATGCTAACTGGCAGATTGCTTTTTGGTTCTGGGAATGGATCGCTTACAAGTAAGGGACGAGCAGGGCCCTCTCCATAGAACATCTGTCTTGTAGGGGAATGGAAGCCTATGAATGTTTGCTATGATCTCCAAAATTATGCCCTTTTTTTTTCAGTGGAAAAGTGATGCGGCTTTGTTTTAATTTATAAATGAAATGTATAGCTTCAAGTGTAGACAATTAAAATAGCAGCATTTAAACACCTTGCCACCTTCAGAAATAATATAACAGAGAATGCAATATGAAACCAGTGTCAATTGAGATCTCTAAATGGTTGCTTTCTTGTCCAATTCTGGGAAAATAAATTAAGAAAGAAGATTAGTGGGAGATGAAATAATAATGATAATGATGCGGAAAAAAACCCCACTATTCTCATTCAGCGGTAGCATTCGGATAAGAGGCTCTTGCGAAGTCTTCAGCCTAAAGCCAAGTGAGCTTGGCAGAAGCATCAAGAAGATAATAATAGAAAGTAGAAATTGTGCATTACATGCAGAGAGGAAAGCAGTGGAAGTTACTCATCCACTCTTATCGTATGTACAAAACAAGTTCAGACTGCATGTGGAAAGATAATTCTGATATCAAGAGGGCATTTTTATACAAAGGGCAGCTTAATTATGGACCCCAGAGAGGTACCATTGTTATGCTCTGGTAGGCAGCTCACCAAGGCCTTCCATTCCAGGCAAGATGGGGAATCTGGTTTAAGTCTGTGGATGTTAATGCTGCATGTGGGGGAAATTGTTGATTCAAAAGGGAAGGGATGAGCATTTTGAAAGATGTTTCAACATTTATTTATTGGACACCCAACAGCAGTACACTCAATAAATCCAATGAATTCTAGGCAGCCAGTCCCAGGGGACTTTATTAAAATAGACTAGAATGGATTTTATTTTTGCTGTGTATTCTTTCTTCATAATATTTAACTTTCTTTCTCCTTTTTTTCTTCTTCTCTTTTTTCCCTTTCCCTTTTTCTTTTTTCTCTTTCTTTCCTACCTTTTTTTCTCTCTTCTTTCTTTCTCTTTCCCTACCTCTTTCTTTTTCTCTTTCTTTCTCTTCTTTCTTTCTCTTTCCCTACCTTTCTTTTTCTCATTCCTTCTCTTATTTCTCTTTCCCAACCTCTTTCTTTTTCTTTTTTTCTTTCTTTCTTACCCTACCTTTCTTTTAATTTCTCTTCTTTCTCTTTCCCTACCTTTCTTTTTCTCTTTCATTCATTCATTCATTCATTCTTTATTTATTTATTTTTCTTTTTTCTTTTCCTTCCTTTCTTTCCCCATCTTTTCTTTCTCTCTCTTCTTTATTTCTCTTTCTCAACCTCTTTCTTTTTCCCTTTCTTTCTTTCTAACCCTACCTTTCTTTCTCTTCTTTCTTTCTCTTTCCCTACCTCTTTCTTTCTTTCATTCATTCTTTATTTTTCTTTATTTTCCTTCCTTTCTTTCCCTACCTTTTCTTTCTCTTCTTTCTTTCTCTTTCCCTACCTCTTTCTTTTTCTCTTTCTTTCTCTTTTTTCTTTCTTTCATTCTTTCCTTATTTTTCTTTTCCTTCCTTTCTTTCCCTATCTCTTAACCTTCTTTCTATTCTTCCTTCCTTCCTTCCTCTTTCCTTTCTTTTTATGCTTCAAGTGTCCTTCTTGCCTCCTTAAATGGAGGCACCGGGGTTTTATAAAGTTCAGGAAAAAATGCCCCCCCTCTGCATTGCTCTGTCCTGAGACTTTATGTTACAGCCCGTTGAGTGACACTGATCTCTCTTCTGCGTTTTTGAGTTGTGCAGAACCGCATCACGGCCTTTTGGTTCAAGGGGAAGGAGCTGGCGCTTGCCTTTGGCCTGACGCTCTCTTTCTCCCGCCTTGGCAGCGTCCTCAACTTCTTTTTCACCCAGCAGTTTGAGAGCCATTTTGGGATCCAGTGGACCCTTTGGGGAGGTGAGTTTCTCTTGGAGCATGATACATATATTTGATGCTTTGAATACAAAGTGTCCGGGTTCCATTTGTTTCCCGTCCCCCCGTAACAACCTCTTTTTTGGACGCAGTGCAAGACGGATTCAAATTTCCTGCCATCCTCATAATGCTGTTAAATACTTTTACGTCATTAAGCCCCCCTATTTTATCTCATCTTATGATTCTAACTATATATTATTAGGCATATTTTCATCTTTTCCCCCGTTTTCCACCCTCCTCTAATAACTTTCCCAACTAATGTTTTTCTTGTTTGTAACCCGGCACAATCATTTCACCTTCCATTATTAATACATATCAGCTAACCTACTATCTTTATGCACCTCAATTAGTTTACCTTTGATTCTTTTTTGCTTGCAATCCTTTCTATACCATACACACATATTACATTTCAATGTTACAGTTCAATTAACTGTAAGTTCACAATAGCATATGCTTTACAAACATTAGGTATACCTCTAAAAGAAAAACTAGCAATATGGAAAAAATATTTTTTTTTCTTTGAGAATACAATTATTAATGCCATTGATACCAAATGCAGTTTGCTAAAAGGCGGAAATACACCATGTAAAATAGAGAATGGGAGGGCGATAAAGAGAGGGAAAGAGAGAGAAAGGAGATAGGAGAGGGAAATAGAAGAGAGGGAAAGGAGAGAGGAAAGGTATGGAAAGAGAGGAGAGAGAGAGAGCAAGGGGAAGTAGAGAAGAGAGGGAAGGTAGAGGGAAGAAAGAAGGGAGGGAGGAGAAGAGAAGGAGAGGAGGAAAGCTGAAGATGAAATAGACTATAATATGGTGTATGGAAAGCAGAAGAGCAAATAAAAATTGAAGAGGCTTAGTGGCAAAAGGAATTGATATATTACTGAATACTCAAAAACTGCTTGTTAAGATGTACTGGTATACTTTGGATTATATGTATCATTAAAAAATAAAAAAAACTTTTGACCGGAAAAAAATATATATCAGGGTTCCTAGTAACACATCCACCAAAAGCAGAAGTCTGAGGGAGGTAGATTCATCAAAGAACATGTTTATTGGATACATCATATCAGCACAGCTGGTGAAAACCAACTTTAAAGTTTCTTGCGGTTTCAGCCTAATTAAAAGCGCAGTGGTTTCCCTCCCCAGAGGTCACATTGTCCAATTAAGGTAGTTGACAGGCTGCTTGCTCGCTCCTCTCCTCCTTCAACTCAGTTTGGATGTCCTTGGTTCCCACAAGAAAGCTTTTTGTTTTGACCGCTAGCCAGTCTGTCTACTTCCCCCTCCCTTCCCCCCCTCTCCTCCTTCAACTCAGTTGGAATGACCTTGGTTCCCACAAGAAAGCTTTTTGTTTTGACTGCTAGCCAGTCTGTGTACTTCCCCCTCCCTCCCCACCCTTCAGAGTTCATGGCAACTATGAGGCAGCAAAAGATGGCCTCTGCCAGGTTCCCTTCAGAGTTGACACAAAGGTTGTCAAGATCTAAAGAGTTTCATGCCAATCATAAGGTCCACCATTGATGGAGGTTCTAACCATTGGTTCGTCTCTGTTCACAGGAGCTTTGTTATGCGTGCTGGGCTTTATTTCAGCCATCACCGTTAGCGTGCTGGACAAGGTGGGCACCAAGCAGCTCGGCTTGGATGGAGTTCTCCAGCAAGAGTCCAAGAAAGTGGTAAGTTAGGGTGGATGTCGGGACGGGCAACTTCTGCTTTATTTTTATCGTCTTTCGGATGCCAGTCATTCATGATGCTGACAGTCCAGAGAGATGTCAAACATTTAAAGCTGATTGTGCTCACCCAGTTTTCCTATCTCTGGAGAGAGGATTGCCGTGTGTGTGTGTGTGTGTGTGTGTGTGTGTTTCTGAATGGCTTTGGGATTCTGAATACTTATTGGCTTTGCCTTCTGACTCAGTTCTTACATTCTGCTAAAGCCGTTGTTGATGCTTTTGTGGAATAAAGCTAGTTGGGTGGCCTTAAAGAACGCTCTGAGCCAAAACTAAATGAACCGCGTTACAGGGTAGAATTAATATGAACATCTGGTACTCCCCTTGTTTTGCTGGTTGATTTGCCTGTGGTGGGTGGGAGATTGATCTTGCAAATGTAGTTCAAGTGTTGCCTTCTATAGGAGAAAAGCTTCGTTCTTCCTCAGTTTATTTCCTCTGGGTCTCTGGTACCTTTAAATGCAAAATGTGTTGTGGCTTGCCAGTGTCCAGCGGAGATGGCGGCAGATTCAGACAGTAAGGACATTGGGGAGGAACATGGGCCAGTCCTGGAGTCTGGGGAAGGCTCTGATGAGGGCTCTGCGTCGGAGGCAGAGAGGGGGCCAGGGCCACATGCCAGTTATCAGCTGCCTTTGGAGTTGGAGATCAGTGGGGCAGAAGAACAGCTGGAGCCTGTTCCCAGTGTGCACATGTGCAGAGCTGCCAGGAGAAGGGAACAGCTAAAGAACAGGGGTCGACTGGGGAGTAAAGGCACAGGTGGACGATGAATGGCCCCTCCCATAGGGAATAAAAAGGAGCAAAAGGGGAGGGGAATTTACAGGAGACAAGTAGTCAAATTCATTCGGGTGAAGATCTGTTCCTGACTTCTTGCTAAGTAATTGCTGCTACAGCGTGGAGTTTGGAAGATATCGGCCTGGCAGCTCTCCAAGCTTGATCAAGGTCTGTAGTTATAAAACCTCATGAAAGTCTGTTTGCCAGGACTTTGCAAAAAAAAATTTGTGCGCCGAACAAGCAGTAATGCCGGCAGGAACCCACCCACCCCTGATGCGCATGCCTGGTTTTTGGTCTGAAAACGGCCCGAAAATGCCCCCCTCCCAAAATGGCCTACTTTCAGGCCATTTACAGGTGCTCCAGCGCTTGTGAAGACCAGCTAGCCGATGCGCATGTGCGTGCCGGAAACCAGAAGAGCAGCTGGCGATGGCATGCATGCCCACAGAGAGGCCTTTGTGTGCTACTTCTAGCACGCGTGTTATAGGTTCGCCATCACGGGACTAGAGCAATGGCTCTCAACCTGTGGTCCGCGGATCCCTTGGGAGGGGGGCGCAATATCATCACAGAGTCCACGAAGACTTGAAGAAATGTGAATATTTTAATCATGGGGATGCGTGGCCACAACAGGTATTTAAAGGGGGCTCATAGTAAAGAAAAGCTTGAGACTCACTGGGCTGGAGAGAGCTGCCTTTAAGAGAGACTAATCCTCAGAGCTGTGGTTGCAGGTAATTAATGCGCTGTTTATTTTTAACTTCCAGAAAGTTCAAGATATCCGGCACTTACCGCTTCGCTACTGGCTTTTGGTGCTAACTATAATGTTCTTCTACAATGGGATCTTCCCATTTGTGGCCGATGCAAGGTAAACCTTTTCATTTTGCAAAATGGGAGAGAGGCTTGGCTGTTGGCAAGAAGGGAGCGAATCCCGGGGCGTGCAGTGTTTCTCCCCCCCCCCCCCCAAGAATCGGTGAAGCTCAAGAAGGAAAGGAGAACTCCTTACAGGACATAAATTGATTGAATGGAGTTAAAACAGGAGTCCCTCTGTGTAAGGAAGATGGGCAGTTTGGATTGACAAATAGATGAGAAAGTACCATAGTTTTCGGAGTATAAGACACCCTCCCCCACCCTCCTAAAAGAAGGTAGAAATGTTGGTGCGTCTCATACACTGAATACAGTCATTCTCGGCCTCCCGAAACCCCACCCTGCGCATCCTGTTTTTGCAAAAAACAGCTCTGTTTTTCACAAAAATGGGGCGCGCAGAGGGTTTGGGAGGCCTGCAAAGTGCTCTTGGGGGCTGGGGAGGGCAAAAACTGTTTTTCTTTACCTCTTTCAAAATCGTGGTGCGTCTTATACTCCGGTGTGTCTTATAGTCTGAAAAATACAGTACCTTATCAGGAAGAACTGCGATTTCTCCGCGGGTCGCCTATGAGGCCAGTGATGAAGGAAGACACGGACACGAGTCTTCTCTCGGGATGAGATGACCCAGAGCATAGTCTGGATGACTCTTTTATTGAGCATACACAAAGAAAGGGTGGAGTCACGTGGTCTATGTGGACCAATCATGGTGTTACAAGTCTATGGTATATGGTAACTCATTTTCTTCCATGTAGACCTCTGAACCTAGAGAATGCCCATAGTCAGCAAATAAATCTTTTAT